TGCTTGACCTGGGGTAAGTCACTGTGTCTCCTCGTGCAGTGCTTCCAGGAATGCTGGAGGAGACACTGCCTGTTGTTATCTCTACCTGGCTCAGGAGGAACCTGTAGGGCTAGGAGACCTACTCTGCATGCTGCAGCCTTTGAATAACTGCTCTACTAACACGTTTCAACTTCTACTAGACTTTGAAGCCTCTTGTCCCGCTATTTCTCATGAGAGCGGCTGCAGTTTGTTTAATGACTGAGACTTGGTTAAGCTAGTTTTATTGCCTTTTAGTGCTGTGGTATGCAATTATGTGTTCCCTCAGAGACCCTTTAGAACTGAGCAGCTTCCCACTAGTGACCACACTCCTCTTGAAATAAGGTCCTCCAAGGTCAAGGCCTGCCTGATGTACAACCCACACCTCTGCAACCCAAACAAGTCCGGCTTCCAGGAGGGAAATGGCATAAAGCCACATCTACAAACCTGCCTATCAAGGAGAAAAGGGAAAAGCTTCATGTCATCTTTGTCTCCATTACCTTCAGGGGCAGGAATCAGGCCATTCACTGCACTGGCATGTGGAGCCTCAGGGCTGGGCATGGTAGAACTCCTCTAGAGACAGAGAAGCCTCCTTGGTGGAACAAATATGTGCGTGTTTGAACCCATTTAGTTTGCTTTGCCTGTATTTGTCCCAGGTTGCTCCAAGCTCTGAATTCTGCTTTGAAAGTGTTTCAAAGCTTTAAGGGTTTTTGATATGGTGTACTACCACCTGACAGAGGAGGAAATTGCCCCTTTGGTCTGAGAAAAGGCTTTGTCATGGAAACTCTTGCCCACTTGTGGCTGGGATCAGTGCTCCAGACAAACAAGGACAACACAGAAAACATGAGGGTGCCTGCCTCTGAGCTGCAGCCACAGGATTTCACCAGCACCCCAAGAGGCATGTGGCTGCTGGGGGTGACCAGGCTGTGTGGAAGCCATGGAGTAAGCCCGTGGCTGGCTCATGGCTTTCAGCAAAGCCCATGGCCTGGGAAACTACCTGCAAAGGCAGCTGGGGACAGAATGTTGCCGGAGGAGAGGGGTTGGAGAGCACTGCACAGCCTCCCTCCAAGGGATGCTGAAATTTTCAGGTGCTGGCAGGTGCCAGCAGGGGTGCCCAAGGCAGTGGGTCACAAGCAGGTTTCCACAGAGGGAGCAGCATTAATGTCTACAAAGGCAAAGATGCTCTCTGGAGCGAGGGGACCAGATCCTCTTGTCTCACCAGGGGGTGCCATTGCCATGGCAAATTCGCTTGCAGCGCTAACTCCTGTCAGGCACCATTAATCTCTCCCTGTCAACAGCTTATGATTGGAACACTCTCCCCCTATCCCCACCTGCTCCTCCAGCTCCATCCCGAAAGCTTTGAAGTCTTTATCAGGAGCCGGGTATGAGGGGGAGGGAGGAAGCAGTGCATGTGGCAGGAGTATGGGAGAAGCATGTGATCTGCTGGCTACAAAAGGGGGTGGGGAAGGGCTGAGGGACAGACTAACAGGGAGGAGAGAAAATGAATGGGATTATAGCAGGGTTGGAGACTCATGGGAGGTTCCTGTCTCTGTGCAGAGCACTAGGGACCTGCCAACTCTCAGCCACAACTGAGCCATACTCCTTGCAAGCAAATATTCATCTCAAAGCCCCTAAATGTCCCCTATTTCCATCTTAACATGGCATTGGGACTGTCTGGAACAAAGGATCAGCAGCCCCTCCCCTGGTTTCCTTCTCCTTCTACCTGCATTTCCAGCACTTTTGCCCACCTTTTCTCCACTTTCTCCTTTTCTCCAGGGGACCTTCTGTCCCCTGAAATCAGTTCTTCTCTCCCCTGTCGCAGGCACACTTGGCCTGCCCTCCTCCTCTTCTGCCGGGGAGGTCAGATTCCCAGGGATGCTCTAGGCTGCCATGAAGCCATGTCAGTGGCTCTGCCAGCAGCTGCTGCAGGCAGCCCGTAACACACCACACTGCAGGACATACCAGACCTCTCTGGCCCTCAGCTTGACAGGCTGATCACACACTGGAGCTGCTCAACATGGCAGCTGCTTTGCAGTGACAGGGCAAGAAATGTTCTCTGGACTCTGAGGCAGGCTCTGCTCTACTTGCCTTGAAATACTTGTCCAGGACTTCACTATAGTTGCTCCCCTTGGAAAACCATCCATCTGGGATAATCTCAGCTTCCAGCCACTGGATGACACGGCGACGAAGCTCATCCCGGTCTGACTGGTAGCAGACAACTGTAATGGGAGAAGGTGTAGCAGAGGAAAAACAAGGATGAGAGAAATTAATTTGGCAAGGAGACCACAGAGAGACAACTGGAAATAAACAGTCAGCCAGGCAGCTCAGAGCCCTCTCTCCTTGGAGATGTGCCACCCCCAGATCAAAGCAGAGGTGCCACCTGCTGAAAGCAAATGGGCTGTGGGTGACACCATGTGGCAAGGCCAGAAAACGACACTTCTGCCAATGTTCTTGTGCCTTCCAGTCCCCGGGAAGCTTGTGGAAGAACAACCCAGAGCTGACTCATCTTGGTGTGGTAAATCCCCAGGCCGAGGGAGGAAGCTGACTCTATCCCCAGGCTTCCTGATGTCGTGCAGAACCCTCAAGTACCAAGCCCTCTACACTCTGCAAGGGTGAAGACTAGACTGAGCAAGCTTCTCCACCATGCTGTCCCCAAGACTTGAATTTTAGGTCCTACTATCTCAGGACATTTTGGTTCTTCAAAGCCCTGACTGGTCCACTCTGCCTGGAAAGAAGAGGAGGTCAAGTTGGGCTTGTTCACAGTGCTCTCCGGAGTCACAGGTTTCTCTAGATGGATATCACTTTGTGTCCTAGTACCAAACTGGGCCTTTAGGAGCAAAACTGAAAGCTTAGATCTTTTGACTTCAGTGAGTTGTCACACCCACCAATGGAGCCAGAAGGGGAATCAGTGTGCATTCATGTCACTTACACACACTAAGGATCTCCTTCTGAATCCAGTGACTACAGTCGCAACCAGACAGATGAAAAGAAATAAAACCTGTAAAGATTCTGCATCTTTAATTTTGAACTTCTTGAAAACTGCTTTAAGGTGGTAGTGACACCCTCATGTGGTACTTTTGCTTATGCTTGTCCAAGGACTTGGTCTTTTCTGTCCAAAGTAGCTGAGTTTATGATTATACAACTCCAGAACTTAAAGGCCATGGATGGGAAAAGGGTCCCTTGATGAAGAACAGGCCATGGTCCAAAAATCCAAAGTCTTAAGTATACAAGGCAACGCAGGTGTAAAGAGCTGGGCAATCATATTTCAGATGGTTTATCAACCCAGACTCTGCTAGTCATACAGAGATACGACTCTTACAGAGCTGTGGAACTCCCCCAGCAGACCTTCCTTCCCATCTCTTTTCCCAAATTCATACAGAGGCCCTAGCCAAAAAGGAGATGGCTTCTTACCTGGGCTTGCAGCTGGATTTTCAGACTTTTTCTCTGTTGATGGAAAGACAGAAGAAGATATTTCTGATGCAACATGAAGCAATACAAACCTCTTCCCACCCTGAGTGCCACTTGGGCAAGAGCAAAGGAACCTGGGAGTCTTTGGAAACACGAGGGCCATATATATATGATTAACGGATTGGAACATCTGTCACACTGAGGGGAGACTGAAGACTGTTGAACATAAAGAAGAGAAGGCTCAGGCATTCTCATCAAGGTTTATAAATGTGATAAGAGGGAATGAAGAAGTCTGATCTAGACTCTTCTCCATGGTTTCCAGTGCCAACACTGAAGCAAAATCCTTGCTCCTAAAGTTATTGAGGTCCCTCAAGAACATTGATGGTAGTACAGGCTTTTGGGGGGTTATCCTGAGCATCTGACTTTTCTCTGGCAGGTAGACTGAGACACCTGCTTGGCTGAATCCATGAACTCCAAGAGAGACAGGGAGGAAAAATAAGTTGTCCTGCTCTCCTGAGTGCCCTCCTCCCAGCAACCCAGGGAGACAACTGCTCCAAGAGCCCACCACAGCCAAGGTGTCAGGGTCCCAAGTGCATTAATGAGGGCCTTAATGGCCCTACTAATCTCACCTAGGGCTTCCACTCCCACTCTGCCCATGAACTTCACTTCAGCTAATGTCCCTGCTCCTAGTGCTTGCCTGGGATTATGCTGTAGGTATGCCTGCATCCAGCTCTGTTGCAACCATTCTTGTACCTGCCATAGACCCTGTTGATCTAGGCCCTGACCTGGTGACTCTCACCGTGACCTCAAACCTGTTATAGCCTGCATCACTATGCACTTGTCTGGCAATTACTGGCCTGTGCCCAATCCTGATTACCATCACCAGAAGTGATCCTGACCTGATTTCATGGCTTGACTTCAGGCCTACTTCATCACCACAAACTTGCCTGCTGATCTGGACTCTTTGTTGAACTTGGCTATTGTTTCCAGGCTTGCCCTGTTTACTCTGCTCTGCAGCTGTAGTATAGGGTCCTGGACAGCGAGACCTCTGCCTTGCCTTGTTAGCATGCTTGGCTCCAGGCTTTCCCTCCCTCAGAGAACAGACGGCTCTCATTTCTCCCTGACACAGGGTTACCTTTACAGTGGCCATCATAATCCACCTGGATCTTGGAGCCAGTGAGGCAGGCATCACGGTGCAGCTCACAGTGGTTCAGGTACGTCTTGCCATTGCTACCGCACACAGGCCTCTTGTGAGGTTTGCATTTCTGTGAGAGAGCCAAAGAAGACAGCATTTTACCTGCCTCTTTGGGAAAGCTAAAGAGAAGCAGGCCAGTTCCAGCATCGGGCTGGCTCAACACAAGCTTTTGGCACAGCTTCCTTGGCTCAAAAGGTTTGGAACAGGCTGAACGCACACACCACCACCCCAGAAAAACCTGCACAGAGAAGTCTGTGGGTGTGGGTTCAAAGGCTTCACTTCATCCCAGCTTCCATCATCACCACCACCACAACAGGACCCTTCCTGAAAGCAGAGCCCAGCAGAGAAATCAGTGCCCAGTATAAACACTGAGTGTAATCCCACAACTGCTGCTCTGCGTGCCACGGACATGCCTGCCCAGACCCAGAGGTGTTGCTATGAACCTTTTCTGGGCACCTCTGCTTACTCAGCTGTTACATCTCTTTGTAGACTCTGCTCCACCTTTCTGCAAACCAAATGTAGAATAAGCCATCAGCCATGAGCAAACAGCACAGCCCATAGCAGAGGGGCAGTTTGCTAGTGCAACTGTTCAGGCTGTGCACTTCTTTCTCATGTCCCTTTCTGTCTGCTCAAGCCTCCCCAGATTGAGACTCTTTTCCTGCTAATGGGGCATTTCACTCTCCAGTGTTTGGGCTGGCTGTGTGGGAGCTGTAGACTCTGAGGGAAGTGGGAACAAAGAGCCATATGCCCATT